GATAACAGCCATTCTAATCATGTGAGGCAATACCTCACTGTGGTTTTAACTGCATTTCTCTAAAAATTTAGTGATGTTGAGCACTTTTTCATATTCCTATTGGTCATTAGTATGACTTCCTTTGAGAAATGTCTGTTCAGGTCTTTTGTCCATTTTTGAAGATCTGGTTATTTATTTTCTTACTTTTGAGTTGAGTTCCTTATATGTTTTAGATATTAACACTTCACTGGCTGTAGGGGTTGCAAGTATTTTCTCCCATTCTATAGGTTGTCTCTTCACTCTTTGATTTGCAACCTTTGCTATGCAGAAGACTTTTAGTTTGATGTTAATCCCATTTGTCTATTTTTTGCTTTTGTTGCCAGTGCTTTGGGGGTCATATCCAAAAAACCACTGCCCAGACTAATGTCATAGAGCTTTTCCTCTAGAAGTTTTTCAGTTTCTTGTCCTATGCTTCAGTCTCTAATTCATTTTGAGCTGGTTTTTGCATGTAGTGTGACAAAAGGGTCTGATTTTATTCTTCTGCAGACACATATCCAGCACCACTTATTACAGAGACTATCCTTTCTGCATGGTGTATTCTTGGCACCTTGGTTGAAAATCAGTTGACAGTGTGTGGATTTATTTCTGGGCTCTCTATTCTGGTCCATTGGTCTGTATGTCAGGTTTTATGACAAAACCATGCTGTTCTGATTACCACAGGTGGAGCAACCCCAATCTGAAAATACAAAGTTCAAGATGCTCCAAAATCCAACTTGACTTGAGGTGATAGATCAAAATGCGGTCAAGACTTTGTTCCATGCACAAAATTATTTAAAATATTGTATAAAATTACCTCACACTATGTTCATGAGGTGTATATGAAAGTTAAATGACTTTTGTGTTCGAATTTTTGTCCCACCCCCAAGATATCTCATATATGTAAATATTCCAAAATCCAAAAAGATATCTAAAATCTGAAACGCTCTAGCCTCAAGCATTTCAGATAAGGGATTCTCAGAAGTTTTGTATATAGTTTGTAATAGATCAGAAGCGTGATGCCTCTGGCTTTGTTCCTTTTTAGTTCAAGATTGCTTTGGCTATTTGGGGTCTTTTGTGCTTCCATATAAATTTTAGGATTTTTTTTCTATTTCTGTGAAAAATGTAAGAAATTTTGATAAGGATTTCACTAAATCTGCAGATATCCTTGGGCAGCATTAACACTGTAACAATATTAATCCTCCCAATCCATGAACATGGGATGAGATAGCTTTCCATTTGTAGTCATCCACCATGTAATGATGTTTCAGTCAATGATGGACAACCTGCACTACAGCAGTCCCATAAGGTTATAACAAAGCTGCAAATTCCTATCACCTTGTGATTTGTATCACAGTTGCTTACAGTATTCAATACAATAACAGACTGTACAGGTTTGTAGCCTAAGAACAACAGGCTAGACCATTCAGCATAGGTAGGCTATGCCACCTAGGGCTCTGAAAGTACTAGACACCCTGTGATGTTCACACAGTGATGAAAACAACCTTTCTCTCAGAATGTATCCTTCTTGTGAAGTAATGCATAATTGTATTTGAGTCTAACCCTCTATTAACCCACCCCCCCTTTCCCCTCCCTTCCTAAATATAGACCTGCCGTTTGATCCTACAATTCCTCTTCCAGGTGTATATCCAAAGGACCAAAAATCATTTGGCAATGAAGATATTTGCACCAGATTGTTCACTGCAGCTCAATTCGTAATTGCCAAGTCATGGAAGAAGCCCAAGTGCCCATCGACCCATGAATGGATTAATAAATTGTGGTATATGTACACCATGGAATACTATGCAGCATTAAAAAAATGAAGACTTTACCTCTTTTATGTTTACATGGATGGCACTGGAAAATATTCTTAGAAATTTATGGTTTGTATTAGAAATGATAAAAAATTGAACCTATGATGAGTTATCATGTTAATAAATTAGGAAAAGATCAAATCAAACCCAAAGCAAAGAGAAAGAAATGGCAAAGAGCAAAATCAAAACATAAGATACACTTAACACAATGACTAAGAAAATGACACAAAGGCTAAGTTAACCAGTTTGATGAAAATATTTCAAACTGTATATGAAAACACCACACTGTACCCCATGATTGCATTAACATACACAGCTATGATTTAATTTAAAAAAATAAGATACAAAAAACTGAGAAAAATAAATGAACCAGAAGATGTTTCTTTGAAAAGACCAACAGAACTTACAAGGCTCTAACTAGTAAGAGAACAAGAAAATGAGAGAGTGAGAGAGAAAAACACACACACACACATCCCAGATACCAGGCATGAAAGAGGGGATGATATCACTACAGATCCCACAGACATTAAAATGGTAAAAAGAGAATACCATGATTAAAATGCTGGAGACAAGGTAGAGAAATTGAGACCTTCATATATTGCTGGTCAGAATGCAAAATGGTACAGCCATCTTAGAGAAATGTACGGCAGTTCTCATAAAATGAAAGATGAAATTTAATAAGACTTAGCAATTTTATTCCTATTTACCCAAAAGAAATAAAAATTATATCCACACACAAACTTGTATGTGAATGCAGCATTATTCATAATATTCCAGAAGTAGAAAGAGCATAAGTACCCAGGATTGAATCGATCAGTACTAGTATATTCATACTGAGGAATACCAGCCAACAATCAACATGAAAGGCAGTATTAACAAATGGAACCACATCACAGAACCTCAAAAACATTCTGCTAAGTGAAGGAAATAAAACACAAAAAAGTACATACTTCTATAAAAGGCAAAATCATAGTGTCAAAAAAGGTAAGTATTTTGGGGGTCTAGTGATTCAGGGGAAGGGCTTATCCACAAAGAAAAATGAGAAAACCTTTTAGGGTAAATGGAACTATTCAATATCTTCATTGTGGTGGTGGTTGATATAATTACATAATCACCAACAATCATCAAACTGTGCAATTAAAATAGGCGAATTTTACTGCACATAAACTGTACTTCAATAAACCTGAGAACAAAAAGTGCCTTTAAATCTACTCTTAGACAAACAGAGATTAGACACAATATTAAAAAGGTACCTTGTCCAACTTGCCTGTTACAGGCTGAATTGTGTCCCCAGAAAAAGATACGAAGTTTTAACCCCCAGGATCTCAGAAATCATCTTACTTCCAAAAGAGGTCTTCATAGAGGTTATCAAGTTAAAATGTGGTCGTCAGGGTGGGCCCTAATCCTGTGTGACTGGGCACAGAGGCAGACTCGTGCAGGGACACAGGGAGAACATTGTGTGACGACAAAGGCGGAGGGGGAGTGACGCATCCAGAAGTCACGGGCAGCAGAGTCTGGCAGACACCGGGGTAGGGCACAGAACAGCCCACTCCCGGCACCTGCAGAGTGAGCACAGCCCTGCCAGCAGCTTGATCTTACATTTCCTGCCTCCAGAACTGTGAGACTATAAATTTCTTTTGTTTAGACACCCAGTTTGTGATAATTGGTTTTGATAGCCGTGGGAAGCTAATACCCTCCTGTTTGATATGAACCATGCTGACCACACTAATCATCACATGTCCAGCTAAGGAATCTCTCTAAGAGAACAAACCCCACAGTCTGTCTCTTGCTCCCATGGGAGTTAAAAAATGCATACACATTTTAAGAGATTTTGTTGGAAACAAAACTGATCATTCCCCCAAAGTGTACAAATTGCAGGTAAAATGGATGTGTGTATTTTAAAAAGGTAATACATAGATAACATCTCTTAAAATGTATACACATTTCTGGGCACCCTCTGAGTGTGTGTGTGTGTGTGTGTGTGTATAGTAGCCCAAAGGAAGCATGTTTTCCTTCTAAGTTGGCTAGTGAATGCCATCTTCATTAGCCAGTACCATTAGGCCAGGGCAAGAATCACCTGGAAGTAATTTTAAACTTCATCGGAGGCTCAGCACCTGTGGCTCAAGTGGCTAAGGCGCCAGCCACGTACACCCAAGGTGGTGGGTTCGAATCCAGCCCAGGCCGCCAAACAACAATGATGGCTGCAACAAAAAAATAGCCGGGTGTTGTGGCGGGCGCCTGTGGTCCCAGCTGCTCGGGAGGCTGAGGCAGGAGACTCGCTTGAGCCCAGGAGTTAGAGATTGCTGTGAGCTGTGATGCTACAGCACTCTACCCAGGGGGACAGCTGGAGGCTCCTGCCTCAAAAATAAATAAATAAATAAATAAATAAAATAAAAACTTCATTGGAAAATTTTATAGACATAAAATAGATATCATCTAACCAAAACCCATTTACTAAATGGAAATTACATGTTCTCCTATTCCTTCATTTCAATATACAAAATAGGCTTATAGGAAACCAAAGAAATGGGTCAATAAGACATTCTCATGTGGCTCGGCTCCTGTAGCTCAGTGGTTAGGGCGCTGGCCACATACACCTGGGCTGGTGGGTTCGAACCCGGCCGGGCCTGCCCAACAACAATGGCAACTACAACCAAAAAATAAATGGGCATTGTGGTGGGTGCCTGTAGTCCCACCTACTTGAGAGGCTGAGGCAAGATAATCGCTTAAGCCCAGGAGTTGGAGGTTGCTGTGAACTGTGATGCCATAGCACTCCACCAAGGACAAAAAAGTGAGAGTTTGTGCCCCCCCCCAAAAAAAGACATTCTCAATATACCATGTACAGTCAACAGAGACATGTCGGCCTATCATAAAATGTAAAAGAGTCCACTTCCCACAGGCTACTGCCAACCTCCTAGGCCAAGTCATTAAACGAAACTGTGAGAAACTGCCATTTTACTGAATCATCTTGAAGGTAATACTTTGAAAATAATTTTGTATTGATGAACATATAAAGTCCTCTCCACATACAGAAATGAGGCTTCCGGTTTACCATGAGAAGATTTTCTTGGTCTCTCTCCCCTTCCTACAGATTCTATTTCTCTACTATCATTGATACTAAACATTTAGTCGGTCCACTACACACAGGACCGACAGGCGCAGTCAGCTTACCTCTGGTGACAAAGGCAGAGTCCCTTCGCAGGTGACACAGTACCTCAGGTGAGCAGGATTTCCCGTCCCACAAGCCCTGCAGATCACCCTCTCCTTGACAACAAAGAATAAGAGATACACATTGCTTTTACCAAACAACCATGCAAACAAGTCATCAAGCAGTCTTTGCCCCAGTCAGCCAGCTGCAGACCCAATTTAACACCCAGGCCCTGAGTATTGGATTGGTTTAGGAATTACGACAACATAGTGTCAGAAAAGTTAATGTAGTTTTAAAAGAACAGAAACCCAAACAAACAAACATACTAAAAAGAGTATATTCATTTGGTCTTAAAAAGGCAAACTGAAAACTCTGCACTGATTATGTGTAAAGTTTTTTCTTTTCCAATGTAGAAAATGTGATAGTCAGTAAACTCTCCATGTCATAGTTTATCCAGTAAACAGAAAGACACAGATAAAAGATTATCTGTCTTTACAGGTAATCTAGTTCTTGGATGGGGGTTTACCCCAGAGGCCTTTATGTTAAATATGAATTTAGGTTTGCTCTATAGTTTTTCACTTAGGGATGGAAGGAACGGAAATACTGCCTTAAAAAGGGAATATAAATGCAACTTCCTGAGTCAGGGGTTGGGGGCTATGTTACAACACAGAAAAAAGAAAAAGAAATGGTTAAAATGGTCTGACTGGAGTTCAGCTGTCAGAGGCTTGCTAGTATCTACTGAGTCACTGGACCATTCTGTACTCTCAGGATGCATCTTTTTCAATTGCTGAGAATCACTGATGCCCAAGACTGTGGTTTCTAGCAGTGAAACTAACACTGTGCTGTGAAGCTGCCACAATAGAGGATAATCAAGAAGAAGAAAGCCCCACTGTGAACTGTTTTTGTTTTTTTTTTTTACTTCTGAAGTTTTATTTCCAGCAGTATTAGGTAGCTTTATGAAATCCCAGCCTTTCGAAGTCTGGCTAACTCCATTTTAGTAGAAGACTCCTGAGTCTTCACAGGAACCTGAGCTAACTTGAAACCACAGTTGCCAGCCTAAAGGACTCTTAACGGGCTGTGTGACTGCCATTCAGAGAGGCAAAGAATCAGTCTTGCTCCCAGTGACACTCCCTTGGGCATGATGTACAATTGCCAGCACTTTCCTGTGAGATTTAGGGACGCGACCTTCTGCGAGATGTTGCCTCAGAAAAGATCTAGTGAAACCCTTCAAGAAGTAAGACAAATTTCCTATCCCTGTATTAAAAAAATACTGAGGACAAACAAAAATAATCTTGCTTGGTGCTATAGGAAATATTTCCTCTATGAAAGAAAAAAAGAAAAAACGGGGACACACTAATTGTAAAGTCCAACAGCTTCCTTCTAGACTCTCTCCTTGCAAGACTCACAATCCAAAATTGTAAGTCACAATCCAATTGTATGTACAAAATTTTGCCCAATCCAAACTTTAACAATCCCAGCCCTGCCTGCAAAGCCCTCTTATATTTTTAAATTTTAAATAATATTTATTTTTTAAAGCAATTTTAGGCTCATAGCAAAACTGAGCGGAAATTACAGAATGTTCCCATATATCTGGTCCCACCCACACACCATCCTCCCACCGTCAACATTCCACACCAGAGAAGTGCATTTGTTACAGTCAATGAACCTACACTGACACATCATTGTCACCCAGAGTCCACAGTTGACATTAGTGTTTAACCTTGCAAAAATCTCTTTAAAATCATGCAGTCCCAGCACTAACACTCTATAAATATCTTTCCCGGTCTTTTCTCTTCTGAGATACTCCTAGGAATCTGTCAAAGTGGTGTCTATTTCACTGTGTTGAGCCTATAAACATCGTTTTCTCATGGTTTTTACAGAGGCTTCTGACATCAC